GGGAGAAGTGTCCAGTTCCTACAGCCCTTGTGCAAAGGATGGGGTGGGGTTTTTTTCCTCTCAGCAGATGAATTTATCACTTGGGAAGATGCAGGAAGAGCAGGGATGCTCCTTTCATCTGTTACCTTAAAGCTGCTCCTGTGGAACACCAGCCCTGACTGCAGCCCCCCGAGAGCAGAGAGCTCAGAGCAGACCCCAGTGCCCGGCTCTGCTGCCACCTCAGCACAGCTCTGAGAGCTGCACAAGGAGATCTCACACTGAACAATTTTCACTGGCTCATTACTGGACAAAACTTCTCTTTGAACTGACATTTTCTGGGCACGACGAGTGCTTTGAAGCAGGGAGACAAAATTAGTGCAGAGAGTTGGCAGGTGAAGAAATGACAGGGTGGATTTTTTTTTCTTTCCCCCAGCAGCAGGGCTGTCCAGGAGCTATGGAAACCTTGTTTGGCTAAATAAAAACTCAGAAAGATAACAAGGCTTCATATTTTCCAGCAATGCGTTTGCTGGAACAGCGTTCTATCTGTGTGTGCTGGAGGCTCCAGAACAGCCAAAGCTGTTCCTGAAGGGAAATGTGCTGTGCTGTTCTCCACAACTGGGAGTAAAGACTGTCTCCTACCTCCCCAGGAGGGAGGGAAAACAAGCCAGTGATGTAGGAGAACCCTGGGAAGAACTGCAGTGAGCCTTCAGGCAGGTGAGGGGCTGGTTTCTTCTCCAGTCTGTTCCCAGTGACTTTTTGAGACTTGCAGCTATAATCTGGGATAAAACTTGGCCCCTCTACCCTGCACTGCCGTGTTTTGGAGAATCACAAAGTGATTCATTTTGGAAAAGACCTCCAAGATCAAGTCCAGCCTTCAGCCTAAGCTGTGCTCCCCCCCTGCCATCCCACCACCAGGGCATCCCCACATCACACCCATGCCACCACGAGAAGAGGAAATTCTTCCTTTTGCTTTCCAGCCCATCCACCAACATGTTAACAACCCAAGTTTAATGTAGGTGGCATGTTTCATACCGAATCTTACAGGCACCCAAAACACCAGCTGGTGCCATGTTCTGAAGAGTTAACGAGGTGAAACTCCAACACTTCAGTCTCCTTCCAACATTCCCAGGCTGAACAACAGGCCCAGGGTGGCTTCGCCACCGCACGGCTCCTCGGGGATCCCCCTGGCACCCAAACACTTCCAAAGCTCTGGAGCCAGCTAAACTCATTCTCCAAAGGGTTTGGAACAGCTCAGCAATGGACACACTCTCCCAAATCAGTATTTCTAATATTTTTCCTAATTAGTCTTAAGGGTGTTTTTAACCCACGATGTAGAATAGCAATGTTTAAAGAGCAGACATGGAAAGAAAGGAACAATCCAAACAAACCATCTGCTCTCGCTGTTCAAGATGGGATCTGCATGAAGGAATGATGAAATGGCAATTGCAGTAATTTTAGAGTTAAAGCCATTTATATCTTTAATAGACTTAATATATTTTGGAGCCTGATCCATTCCTCCCAGCACTGAATTTGGACAGAGTGAAATATCCAAAAGAACATGAAATTCCTCATCGAGGCACAGTTTGCAAGAAGCTGCTCAACATGAAGTATTTCTGGCAAATATCATTACAAACCACTCTTGAAAAGAAAAAAGTTCAACTTGCCCTGTTTCCTTACTTGTATTCTATAATGTTTTGTGTGCCCCTTTATTAATAATGCCAGGTTTTCAATGAAATTAAGGGCGGGGAAAAGCTCAACTTATTCTTTGCATAAACTTAATACAACATTTAGTCTGCCTCTTTCTCCCTCCTTCAGTTGTGGCTTGGCTCCATTTCAGCTTCTAAGAAAGTTTTGGAATCTCAATTCTGCAAGAAAGAAATACTTTGGCAAAATAATCCTGAAAGCTTTTTTTAAAAAAAGATTAAAACCAATGAATTTACATTCTGAACCATTCCCAAGATCTTACTTACTCTGCAACCTCCTGGGGATGTTGTGAGGTTTAATTAGCTCCAGTTGGAAAAGGCTTTGAAGAGGAAAAGTGCCAAATATTGCTCCACTCAGGTAGAGCTAAATTGTCTAAATTATTACATCATAAAACAAATAATTTGACAATTAATTCCTTTTCCTTGCCAGTGTGACTTCACAGGGATTTCACTTCCCCAACGTGCTGGTAGGATCACACCACCAAGGTGCCCAAGTGCTGGTAATGACCAAAAATCAGAGATTTTTGAACATCACGGCACCTCAATCACTTAACGTTGGGATAGTCTAACTCTTTGCACAGGAGACCTGACCCTCAGGGCGTTCTCAGCGCAGGTACTTGGCCACCTTTGGAGAAGATGCTGGGAGAGTCACTGAGCTAAATCAGCTCAGCCCAGGGCCTCTCTGGAGGAACATCTGGGCATTTGGCACGGGTTATTTTTTGTGATTTAACGAGGACACGTCCTTCTTCCTGAGAACACAGGGCCAGTGGAAATCTGAGCGGCCTTTATTGAAGGAAGGTGCAAAAGTGAGGCACAATCTCCTGCTCACCAAGGACGTGACAACGACCCGAGGCTCCCAAGATGAGATTTTAATGCTCTGTGAACACGAGGTTTTGCTCAGCATCACTCACTTACCCACATCTGCCCTTGGCAAGGGTCTCTCAGCCCCCAGGAGTGACCTTGTGAGGCTCCAGCTCCAGGGCAGATCCCCCTTCCCAGCAGCTGCTCAGCAGGGACAGCTCAAAAAAGGTTCACTCGGGCTGTCATATTTATGGCATAAAGCAGTTGGCTCGCAGTCAAATTACAAGTGATGAAAAAGGTTGTGAGACTCCTCGTACCCACAAGCTCCTTTGTTCCTTGACCAAATTAGCGCTGGGAGAACCACCTGCTATTCATGTGTTAATCGCATGATCGCTGCTGGCTTCACGGGCTCACACACATCAAAGCCGGCCGTGTCACCCTGTTCCTGTGGGGGTTTTCAAAGAACACCCTGAAACCAGAGGAGTTCAGCACCTGCCGACAGCCCAGGCCTTTATCTCCTCAAACCAGCCCAGGTTTGGCCAAGCAGTTGAGTGTGTCCATCGCAGAGGACCAGGCAGGCAGGGGACCACAACTCACCACGAATCACCCTTTTAGCCAAGGAGCGCTGAAGTTCAGTGTGAAACCATGTCCCAGCACCCAAGGAGGATGCCAGCTGCTCTCCCAGCCCACTCCAGGGCTGTTTGCCAGGGGCTGTGACAGGTTTTCTGCAGGAATTCTGCAGCACAGCCTCTCTGAGAGCCTCCCCAGCCTGCAGAGCTCCGGGCTGGCAGCTGCACCGGGCTGGGCATCACTGGGAGCTCTGTGCACACACAGTGAGCTGGAGCTCACACCCACAGGCCACTCAGCTTCTGGGGTCCACAGAACAATCCCAGAAAAGGCTCTGGGGAGCTCTCTGCTGGGAGGAAAGTTCCAGACACCAGTTTGTGACAGATGCTGATGCTACATCTTTGCTGCAGAAAGAGTCTTTGCCTCTCTTGGGGCTAATCTAAAGTTCACACCACCGTGGCCATTCTTTATTCAGCTCTGCTGTTCAGCTGTATTATCTGTAACACTGCATAATGAGAGAATTTTGGGGAGTGCTTCAGCTTTTGGTTCCACACAGAAGTTTCTCTATTTTGTATCCACAAGCCTCCAAATCAAAGTATGTCAGCAGAAGACTGCACCACTCACAAGCTGAAATGGGAAGGATCTTTCCCTGTGTGCAACTGGGAACTCATAGCTCTGACCAAGGAGATGATAAAAAACCAGTTACATAATTTCACTCTTGCTTATTTCCCTATGATTGACCCCAAAGATTTCGTGGAGGGAGGGGAAAAGGTTCTGCATAATTTTTACCAACTTGTTTTCAAACAGTTCCTTAAAGAATGGAGGGGAAAAGGCAATATTCCATCATAAGGCAAAACAAACAAACAAAAGCAGAATAAAAATAAACTTTAGGCCAGCTTCTGGTCTCCATAAATAGAGTTACTTAACTGACTGCACAGTGACATCTTAGATGAAGACCAATGGAACTGAGCTTAAAATTCAACTGTTTTTTTGAGCTGTTGGCAACACTCTGCAGTGACTCTCCCTCTCCTGCTGCAGAGGTAGAACAATTTGTGTCATTTCAGGGAGCAGTTATTGCCAGCTCAGACTGCACTCTGCTTCCAGTCTCTCCTAGGTAAGTCTCACCTCGTTGTGCTCCGTGAGACAGAAGAATCTCTGGAATTAATCAATTCAGGGAAAAGCAGAACCAAACGCCAGCATCTCAACACTGAGGATCACTGCAATGGGTCCCCCTTAATCACTGCAAAATGAGAACAGATTTGCCGTGACTGGGAATTTCAGGAGCACATGATAGCAAGCCCTGCTCCCATCCCTCCCGTGGATTTGTGCTGGTAGGGAAAGACTCAATTACTCAGCACTAAATGTCTGAAAAGGACAAAGCCACTCAAAGCTACGTAATCACCTTAAAGTGGATGAAACAGGAGAGTGGGGCAAATGTATGTCTTGCATAAATCCAAAAATAAAAGGGGAAAAAAATCCCAAAGCCCTACAGTCTGCTGATTTTTGGGCCCACATTCTTATTAGGAATATGCAAAACCTACAAGAAAGATGGTTATTACATGCCTGAGACATTAAGGAACATTTTTAGGAAAATGGTGAAGATGAGTTAAGAGTGTGGAGTGCAAAATTATTTGGCTTCTGTCCTCCAGATAAATCATTGCCTTTTTCATGGCCACATGAATACAGGAACAGCAGCAAAATCAGCTCTTAATTAAAAGAAACTTACACTAACTTGCACTGTGCAAATAATAAAACACCCAGTCAAGTATTGCACTTTGATAATCAAAATGGCACCTCCACCTTCAAACAGATACAAATTCCAGAGACAAGCACGTTAATTTATGCACAAAAATTACCACTGAGAAATAAATTAATTTATATTAAAAAAAAAAAAAAAAGAAGAGGATATTGAGGATATTGACACATTTCGGGGCTAGAAGAAAAGTCACCTCCTGATCCCACATGCGCTTGGTTTTATTTACATATCCACAAAGACCATGAAACACCAGCCCAGCCCCCCCACCAGCAGCATGGTCACATGAATCCCGTAGATGAGCAGTTCATTCATGAGGCTGAAGTCCACCCGCCTCCGCCCCAGCAAGAGCAGGATGATGGAGAGTTTGTACTGGAAGCGCAGGAAGATGCGGATGCCGAGGTACTGAAGGCAAAACAAGATCGAGAGAGCCACCCAGAGGATGGAGGTGAAGAGGCTGCAGCTGAAGTAGAGCAGGAAGCGGATGAAGCCGTACATCCACCGCGATTTGAGATAGATGTCGAAGTTGTTGTACTTGGTGCGCACCAGGTGTGTGGTGCGCACGGGGCCGCAGGCCGAGTGCAGGCAGGTGGTGTGCGGGCCGTGGAACGAGCGCACCCGCCGGGGAATGGGGATCACCGGCATCGGGCCCGGCCCCGCGCAGCCCGCCCCAGGCCGCCGGCCGCCGGGCACATATCAGATGGCAGCGCCACGCAGCCGGCCGGGCACGGCTATCCCCGCGCTGGGCGGCCGCCGA